CTTGTCGAAACGTGGGACACATGCTCTAACACAATCGATCCCACAAATATCCTCTATTTTATCAATCAGTTCGCTTGCACTTAATCCACGGCAGTTAATTGGAATTCTCACAGTTTTATCTTTAAACTTGTGTCTATTTTTTCTGTATCTCTTATCTTTATCCATAATGAAGATGTGAAAGTAAACTTTGCTAGTATAAACAACAGTGAGAGCGTATCGACACGTCCGTCTCTCGAGACGCACAATCGGCTTACCAAGCCAACGTCTTACTCACTGAGCCACTGCGACTCCCATGTCCCATTGAAAGGATTGTTCATAATTTCCTGACATAGAAAAATCATTTATTATAAAGATGTTTTACAATACAGTTTGTGTTTATTTTTAATTGAAATCTTGTTGTTTTTTTATACAGAAGCTGGACGAATGTAGACCACAAAAGTAGAGACAACCTGTACATATGTTTTAAATAGCTTACCTTAAATTACAATAAATATTTATTGTTATGTTCATAATAGAGTTTCTATTAAATTACAATAAATATTTATAGTTATATATCTAATAGAGATGCTATTAAATAGTTTAAATTGAAAAATACTAAAATTATTAATTATAATGTATTGTAGCCCAAAATAAAAATTTCGTGGATTCTGATTGATCGAAAAGTGGCGTCGAATGAGTATAACAGTCCTCTAAATTTCCTGGGCGACTCACTGCGAATGAATATTTTCTGGGTGCTAGACTCTGTTTGCAGTGGCCAAAAATTCTACACCTCAAAACTTTATTCTAGGAAATCTTCACGAATTTTTTCTTGTATGTCATCAGGGTTGGGGCAACTTTGAACGTTTTTCAGTATTTTGTTTAAGCATCATATATATTTTATTTATTTGTTTATATTGTATAAATAATAATTGATTTGAATAAATATATTATTTAAAAAAAAAAAAAAATGTTTTGTATTTTATGAAATATTACTCCCATCATGCATCTGTAACCTTACTGTCAAGGTCGTGCCTAGAACAAATGTATAGCTTGTCAACTTTATACTAGAAATATGTAAGTATAGATTATTTAACCTTAGAAAACTCCATTTTTATGTAGATTAAACATTTCTACCAAAGTTTAAACAGTTACTTTATGATTTTGAACAAAAATAAAAGTTTGAGCTTAACAAATTTTAAAATACACCATTTTCAAAGAAAAACGGGGCAACGTTGCCCCAAAGACATTTATTCATAATAATTGTCATGTTTCTGACATATCATAAACATATGAGTATTAGTAATGAATAAATTAACTACTCTTTTTGTATTTTTACATTAAATATGGTTCGGAATTACAAAAGAAAGCTTGGATCACATACATACAAGAACTACTCCGAAGATTCGTTAAAGATGCAGTAACATCAATTAAAAATGGCACTAATAGTTTAAGAAAGGCATCTATTATTTATAACACCTTGGTATGCCTGGTCGGCCTCCAGTTTTCTCACAAGAAGATGATCATTTAATTAGTCATATGGTATTAGTGTCTGAATGGGGATTTCCTTTGGATCTATTAGATTTACGACTCCTGATAAAATCATATTTAAATCGTCAAAATCGCACCATAGTTCAATTTAAACAAAACATCCCCAGTGTTGATTGGGCAAAATTTAGTAAGAAGAAATTGCCAAAATATCAAATCAGCTCGGGCAGGTATATCGTCGTCGACTGTTGAAAGTTTTTTTTTTAATAATTTACAGCAAAGTTTACTTAATGATGATGGCAGCCAAATAAACCCAGAAAACGTCTTCAATTATGACGAAGCAAATTTATCTGATGATCCAGGTCCAAAAAATGTATTTTCCAAAGAGGTGTAAAATATCCGGAAAGAATTAAAAACAGCTCAAAAACAGCAACTTCCATTATGTTTTGTGGGTCTGCCGCTGGAAAAATGCTCCCAGCATACGTAGTATATAAAAGTGAACATATATGGTCAACTTGGATAGAGGGTAGACCCGCAAATACCAGATACAACAGGAGTAGAAGTGGCTGGTTTGATAATACGACTTTTGAAGATTGGTTTGTAACTGTTTTTGTTGCATGATAATCTTAGTAGCCACTTTGGTGAACGGGTTCTCAAAGTTGCAAAGGAAAATAATATTGTTTTTACTTGTCTACCACCAAATGCAACTCATATTCTACAGCCATTGGATGTATCTTTCTATGGGCCACTGAAACGTTCTTGGCGAAAAATATTGGATGAATGGAAAACTAAACAAGGCAAGAAATCACAAGTTTTAAGTAAAGATCAATTTCCACGCCTTCTTAAATCATTATACTCTGAAATATACCCTACAGAATCTGAAATAAGTGAACATCTAGTTGCAGGATTTAAAAATGTGGTATTTTCCCACTAGACCAAGATATTGTTCAAGCACGACTTCCTGACAGCTCATTAAATAAATCTTTGGATGTATCTAATTCATTAATAGATTTGTTAATGACATTAAGAGGAGTTAATCCGGAAGACGAACCGCTAAAAAAGCGAATGAAGAGAATAGATGTTGAACCAGGTTGTAGTATTAGTGTTGAAGATATTAATTCGGTAAAAGAAAACATACCGGTAGTCATGGAAGTTGATAAAGAAAATGAGAGTGGATTCGAATCGGATACTGTTAGTAGTAGTGGTATGCTGGGAAGTGTTGATGTTGATGATGTGGAAGAAATTGATACTGATGATGCTGTAAAACAAATCCGAGAACCAACTGTTGGTCAATTTTGTGTTAAGTCAACCGATTCCCAAAACTATATGTATGATGTTTCTTTTCTCCGTGCTTCGCAAAAGGTGCCTTGTAGGTGTTTATGGCCGAATATCCCTGATGTTGGCACTATTGAGTTCAAACAAATTATTAAGGTTTTATCAGTTCCCGAAATCGATAGAAGATTTGGACTAACCTTTTTGAAACGTGAATTAGGTTCATACCTATGTAATTTACAGTAAATTGTTGATTCTTCTTAAAATGATAATTGAATTGTTGATGAATTGATTAAGTAAATATCTTAGATATTTTTATTTATATTTTTTTACAATAAATTGTTAATTCCTGTTAAATTGTTAATTCCTGTTAATTTCTTTTCAATTGTTAATTTCTGTTCAATTGTTGATTATTTATTAAATAAATTTAATTAATATTTTTTTGTTAAAATGTTAATTCTATTTTGATAAATTTATTAAAATATCATAATACGTCTTATACAGTGTCTTAGTTTTTATTCCCAGATGTCTCCAACGTGAATTGACATTTATCGAATGGAATTTTATGTACTGTTCAAAGTTACCCCATTGACGAGGCAACATTGAATACCCACATTTTTTTTAAAAAAATGAAAAAGTGTTTTCCTATACCAAATCTAACCTGACTTTCCAATAAAACTTGTCCTTCCCCACCAATTATAGCCAAAAAATTTATGTAGAAACATGAAATAGCTTTGCAATCATAAATGAAAGAAAAAAAACGTTCATATTAACACAAGGTACAATTTTATGGATATACAATTACTGAGTTTGATACACCATTTGCTTGATAAAAACGAGAGTATCCTCGTCGAAACGTCGCTTAGTATGAAACTCAGTAATTGTATATCCATAAAATTGTACCTCGTGTTTTTGAAACACACCTGAAACCCACAAAAAAACAAAGTTAAGGCCCGGTCCCACTGCACTTACGGATGCAAAGAGGATGTAAAACGGGGAAAAAATGTGCACTCAGTTTGAAAACGCCATGCATCCGTTGTGTACTCATTGCATACGTCCCTCACGCAAATGAAGTGATGACGCCACCCATATGAAGTGTAGGTGACACTAAACCGAGACATGCTCGAAGTGAAAAATTTGATATCTGAAGTGTTCATTTCTACCACACTTCCGTAACAACACTTCAAATTTTCAATGAAATAAAGAAGGTAGAAATGATGTTGAAGTGAGGAAGAAGCCATGCCAAATATGCAAATTAGGCTTCAACGAAGTGTTCACTTCAACCAAGTGCTTATCGGGTGTTATTCTCACTTCAACTCAGTGCTTATCGGGTGTTTTTCTCACTTCAACTCAGTGCTTATCGAGTGTATTGCTCACTTCAACCCAGCGCTTATTGAGTGTTTTGTTCACTTCAACTCAGTTCTTATCTAGTGTTTTTCTCACTTCAACCCGGTGCTTTTCTCACTTCAACCCAGTGCTTATGGAGTGTTTTTCTCACTTCAACCCAGTGCTTATGGAGTGTTTTTCTCACTTCAACCCAGTGCTTATCAGGTGTTTTTCTCACTTCAACCCAGTGCTTATCAGGTGTTTTTCTCACTTCAACCCAGTGCTTATCGGGTGTTTTTCTCACTTCTACCCAGTGCTTATCAGGTGTTTTTCTCACTTCAACCCAGTGGTTATGGAGTGTTTTGCTCACTTCAATCCAGTGTTTTGCTCACTTCAACCCAGTGTTTTTCTCACTTCAAACCGGTGCTTATCGGGTGTTTTTCTCACTTTAACCCAGTGCTTATCGGGTGTTTTTCTCACTTTAACCCAGTGCTTATCGGGTGTTTTTCTCACTTTAACCCAGTGCTTATCGGGTGTTTTTCTCACTTTAACCCAGTGCTTATTGGTTGTTATTATCACTTTTACCCAGTAAGGTTGCAGACTTCAACAGTGTGAGGCCTAGCTCACAAACCAGGTGGGGGGGGGGGGGCTGTATTTGATCCCAGTGTCGGTCATGAAAGTTACTCCACCCTCCCAGGATTTTCTGCACCGTTCGCCTAATCAGTGGATCTAGGACCTGGCAAAGGATGGTGTTTGGTTGTGATAGTGATGGGGCTGAAAAGCCAAAGTTCCATGTAGAAATTGTCGTCCATGTAAAAAAAAAGAAACCTGTGTAATTAAAAGAGGACAATTCAGAAAAGCCACATCTGGGCTAAATTTCCCTCATAGCACACTGAATAATCCTAGTTATGCTGAAAAACCGCAAATATGAAACAAAATAACACTTTGATATTTATTATTGTTTTCAAAATATTACAACACAATTGATACAATTAACAAGTGGTTGCCATCTAAGATACACCCACATATTGCAAAAGAGAATAAGGAATATAAATAAGGCTAATCCACTCATTGTCCCAATGTTTCATATAGAATTAGAAAAAAATCTGTTAAAAAAATTGTAGCTTTATCACGTTCACATGGTTTCCAAAAAAGTGGGTTAAGTGTGGATTGCTGAAATTTATTGGATTTGTCCTCTCATGGTGCCAAAGCTACACGGCAAATTAATAAATTGTAGCCTCATCACACTCACAAGCTTTTTTGAAAAGGTTATCTTCTAATCACTGCATATCGTTGGGGTTTGTGATCTCATGAATCCAATGCTTCACACCAAATCTGAAAAGGACCGGTTAAAAACTGTAACTCCTATCAAATTCAAAGTTTTTGGCTATGGGGCATAACTCTGAACTCGAAAGTCAAATCTTCAGCAAAGAGGGGTTAATTCAGGCATGGGAAATGTTGGCATATAAAACTGCGAATTCTAGAGGATCCAGAAGTTAAAAACAATGGATCGTACAATCAGGTGTAATATTCTATGCCAAAATCCTCTGGATGGGCCCACATGCTAAAAACCCAATTTACCACAATATAAGGGGCCATAATCCATGAGGTTAGAGTTCAAAATGAATCTGATCCCAGATGATTTGAATATAAATATACATTTAAATTTCATTAAAATCGGATAATTGTGACCACAAACAAATTTCACCGGAGGTACATCTGGACGAACAGAGGCAGCGACATGAAAATGTGGGTGCCATAAAAAATAAATAATTATAGACTCAAGGGCAGGTGTTTTGTAATTTGGATAGCGCCAGGCTATAATCCATTACAGTTTACACATTTCGTGTGTTTTCTTGCATCTTTAACACACCATATTCAACCCACATTCAATGTTGCTATTAATCACCTCCACACCTTATTCGACCACATTCATAGGTGCTGTTATTCTGGTTTGATTAACCTGAAATTAAAACAAAAAAAATGTTCAGTTAAAGATGCATTCAGAAAAAGTAATTATAGGGTGATTATTTCGAATAAAATATGGTAAGTTTGGATATGGAAAGTAGAGACACCCAATCTTACTAGAAAATACTAAATTCATGTGGAGAGAGAGAGAAATGGGGTTTAACGTCCACTTGATACAAACTAGGTCATTTCGGGACTAATATATGGGTCCATTTTATTTCAATAATTCGATAGCGCGTAGCAGTCTTTAGCAGTGGGAGGAAACTGGAGAAAACCCATGAGATTGGACAGTTGACCCTACACTTCATCACATACAACTGAGGAATCGAAACCATGCCAGTTAACTCAATGACAGACATGAGCTAACCAGTCGGCCATCCAACCCCCCAGATTCCCATGGAAACACAGTGAAAACAAGCAGATGCCATGCAAGATACACCCACATTTTGTAAGAGGTGGACAGAGAACAAGCCAAAAAAGCGATTTAAGTTTCATCAAAATTGGATAACAGTTGTGATCTCTAGAATGTGATTTGTATAATCAGTCGCCATAATCCATAAGTTTTGGTCCGATATGCCCGAATATTCCAATGAACCGAGATCTTTGGGATATAAACATACATTTCAAGTTTTATCATAAAAATTGTCACTCTAAAGGGTCCACAAGCTAAAAATGCAATTTTTCATACGATCAGGGGCCATAATCTATAAGTTATGGTCTGATATGCATGAATATTGAAAGGAAATGAGATCCAGGGAGTTACGACACAATATGCGTGAATATTGAAAGGATCTGGGATCTTTGGGTTATATACATACATTTTAAGTTCAAAATTGCGACCTCTAGATGGGTCCAAAACCTTGGCTATTTTGTTGGGCAATTTCAGTTTGATTTTCACGAAATTTGAGCTCAACTGTTATTAAGATGTAACGGTGATATAGTTGAACGGTTTTTTTAAAATCAGATAAAAATTGTGATTCCTGGAAGTTTCACAAGCTCAAAATGTGATTTTTTCAATACAATCAGGTGCTATAATCCATGAAGGAAAGGGGATTAACTAAGACTAAGGCCTGTATTGTGCTAAGACAAATATGGATGACAGACCACAGGAGTGGATGACGGAAATATACGACTGTATTGAAATGTGAATGCCTACAAAGGATTACCTTCCATTGACTGTAATCAACATTGTTAGTACCAGTACAGAGCGTCATTAAAATCTTCAGCTGTAATGACTTTCAATGACTGATTTATACCAAATACTGTATACAGCACTTATGTGTCTTTCCATCATTCATCCATCCGGGTCACAAGCTCACCATCTGAAAACATAAAATTATCTTTTTAGATCAGATAGGATGATTCTTCTCAAAAATGAGGGTATGAAATGAAATGAAATGAAATGGAGTTTAACATCCTACTGTTCTGCTCCTAACCTGGGCTAATGAAGACGGGCATACGCCATACAGTGTGCTATGAGGGAAATTTTGTCCGGACAGCGGCACTACGGCCTACTCTTATATCGAATTCCAACTGCCAAGGGATCTTTTACGTGCACGCCAATGTGTACACAGGACCTTGGTTTTTCGTCCCATCCGAATGACAAGACAGCTTTCCTTGTCAGCCCCTCCGTATGAGTGGATGAGTTACATGTATAGTGAGAAAAAGATACAATTTAATTGCAGCAATTTACAAACAATCCCCATACTTTTTTTAACAAGCGGTTGCCATGCATGATATGCCCACATTTTGCAAGAGATGGACAGAGAACAAGCTAAAAAAAGTGATTTTTCATACAATCAAGGGCCATAATTCAGGAAGTTACGATCCGATATGCATGAATATTGAAAGGAACCAAGATCTTTGGGTTATAAACATGTATATCAAGTTTCATCAAAATCGGATCAAATTTGTGTCCTCTCTCCAGAGGGTCCAAAACCTTGATATACCATATATTTACAATATTTGCGTACAAGGAGCAGCCATTTTGTCCGGCAGTTTTGGTCCAATTTGTACGAAACTTCGTACTCAACCATCATAAGGGTGTAACAGTGATATATTCAAACTTTTTTTAAATCAGATAAAAATTGTGACATCTTGAGGGATCACATCCTAAAAACGCGACTTTTCATATAATCAAGGGCCATAATTCAGGAAGTTACGATCCAATATGCATGAATATCGAAAGGAACCAAGATCTTGCGTTGTAAATATGCATTTCAAGTCTCTACAGGGTCCACAACATTGATATACCATATTTTTACGCTATTTGACGAGGCATGGCCATTTTGTCTGTCAGTTTTGGTTCGATTTTTACGAAATTCGAACTCGACCATCCTTAGAGTATAATGGTGATATATTCAAACGTTTTTTTAAATCGGATAATAATTGTGACCTCTAGGGGGACCACAAGCTATAAATGCGATTTTTCAGCCATAATTCAGGAAGTTATGGTTCGATATGCGCGAATATCGAAAGGAACCCAGATCTGTGGGTTATAAACATGCATTTCAAATTTTATCAAAATCAGATAAAAATTGTGACCTACAGAGGGACCACAACCCTGATACGCAATATTTTGACACTATTTGCGAACGAGGGCTGGCCATTTTGTAAGTCGGTTTCGATCCGATTTTTACGAAATTCAAACTCAACGTACCACCCTTAGGGTGTGACAGTGATATATTCACATGTTTTTTTAAATTGGATAAAAATTGTGACCTCTATGGGGTTCATAAGCTAAAAACGTGATTTTTCGTACAATCAAGAACCATAATTTGGGAAGTTATGGTTCGATATGCGCAAATATCGAAAGGAACCGAGATCTGTGGGTTATAAACATGCATTTGAAGTTTCATTAAAATCAGATGAAAATTGTGACCTCCAGAGGGTCCACAACCCTGATACGCAATATTTTGACACTATTTGCGAACGAGGGGTGGCCATTTTGTCCGTCAGTTTCGGTCCGATTTTTACGAAATTCGAACTCAACCACCCTTAGTGTGTAAAGGTGATATATTCACACGTTTTTTTTTAAATCGGATAAAAATTGTGACCTCTATGGGGTCCACAAGCTAAAAATGCGATTTTTCGTACAATCAGGGGCCATAATTCAGGAAGTTATGGTCCGATACATGCTAATATTAATATCAAAAGGAACCGAGATCTTGGGGAGATATACCTATATTTGAAGTTTTGTTGAAATTGGATAAGAATTGTGACCTGTAGAGTGTTCACAAGCAATTGTGGACGGACGGACAGGGGCGACGACAATATACGTCCACATGAAAATGTTGGTGTATAAAAAGGATCGGGGAGTGACATTAAAAGTTAACTGGAAATTTTTTATCAGACTACATAAACAATCCCACCTATATGACTTAATTATCCCACAAAGCAAAATCGATGCAATTTGTACATTTGGGCAATCAGTTTCATTTTCAGGCAAGTGAAATCATTGAACTACTTGCCCTAAAAAGTTAATGTTGAGTTAGGAATGTGTCATGTTTTATTTTCCAGCAACAATACCAAGCATAACAATTTAATCAAATTTAATGTCTACTTTTAAGCACCCACCAGACTAATGAATACAGATATATGCCATACAGTGACCTATAAGGGAAATTTTGCCCAGAACCACTTCGCTAAAGCCTACTATATTGAATTCTGTCAAGGGTTCTTGTAGATCTTGTGTTTTTTGTACCATCTAATTCTGAACAACTGGATACTGTCCTTGCCAGGCCCTCCCAGTCCCACCACGCTGACAAGGGAAAACCACTCCAGAACTTTCTTGGCAAACCAAAGACCTCTTGGTTAGGGTGCCTGCGTCTTACTAAGCCAAATCATTTACAGTGTTCTAGGCTAAATTTGACCTGTGAAGCAAGTTTTCTTAAAAATCAATTTAAATATTACCTACACATGCATAAGGTAATGAGTGTTTCGCATCATGTCATACACGTCTTTGAATTCTTTACTTTAAAATTGGAATTTTTCTGAAAAAAAAAAGGGAAATGAGGTTGAATGAAGATGAACATACGCTATGCAGTGGCCTATGACAATGAGGGTTTCTGTTGCTTTGAGGGAAGTTTTGTTTGGACCGCAGAGTTGCAGCCTTTTATAACAAATTCCAACTGCCAAGGGTTCTTTTATGTGTCTTCCATGTCCTTTTATAACAAATTCCAACTGCCAAGGGTTCTTTTATGTGTCCTCCATGTCCATGGTTTTCTTCCTATCTGAATCTGACAAGGAGAAATCATGCCAGGAAATTCTGAGGAACTTACTTGGCAACACTGTTATCGAACCCTGAACTGTAACAGTGGCGAGGGTGGATTCCATGTGATTTCTACTTGAGAAATTATTCAATATTGGGACCATCGGAATAAAAGTTTGAAAGATTAGCTGCCTTTAAACTACAGGGAATTAGGGAACGTATGATTATTGGACAGCAGTACTGAGGGGTAATCTCTATAACTGACTTTCAGATTCTCAGGCCGCCCAACCATGTATCAACCTCAAGAGCCATTGAACTAACGGATTTCAGATCATCAGCCCATGTATGGGATAACAGACATGTAGGGTGACAGAATAAGTTTACTTCAATTTACCATCTTGTCTAGACACATTTTTCACATACCGCACTGGTGGATTATTAATTTACAACCTCTGAAAAAAAAAATAAAGACGAAATAAATTCACCTTTTTTCAAGTACCAATACAGTGTACCGCAGTTTAAATTTACCGAAAACAACTGTAATCATTCAAAATGAATGCCAGTTAACTTGTCCACACAAAAAGTCTAGTTATGTAGTCCACAAATATCAAAATACATGTACACTGGTTAGTCGTTGACACGGAATAGGTCAACTCGTCCACACACCCATGGCGCTTCAATTCGACAATCACAATGGCAATGATATGCCATGAAAATGAAATGAATAAATCAATTCTCTGCATAGATCTAGTTCCAATTAAACTGAAGAATTTTCTGGGACAAATCGTCAAATTATAAATAATTCGGTGTACTTCATCAATCAATGAAATTGGCATTTCGACGCCATGCATAATACCAAATCCAAATTGTGTGCGAGTCATAATCACACTAAACTTATTTTTACGCGATTTTCAGCAACTTAGACATTTTGTTAGTGATAAATCGTAACTAATCATTAAATTGGCTAGCTATAAGAAAAACCTGGTCTTTACAACAATTAAAACTTTGAGAAATATTATAATAACTTACCTTAAATTGTTTTCAGTATCAATCATGTTAGCGAAAAGAAAAAGATGGCGCCCATGGGCCATAACGTCATTTCACTTACGTCATTATTGACCAATCCTACCGATCTTTAGAAAATACGAGTAAAAAAAAAATAGAAAGTTAAAAATCATTTTTTACTACCGGTATCATTAACAGAAATTCTTTTGTTTGTGTTTGGTTATAAATCTATTTCCTAAAAAAATGTTGAATTGTGTATCAAAACATTGTTTTCCAATATCTTAACAACTTTCATGAACTGGGCTATAGGCCTATATTTCGCTTGAGACTTGTGATGTATTAATTATCTCACATCTGGGTCACAGTAACACCCACACACCCATTAAAATAAATAGGTCAACAATATTTTTAAATACCGGTACTTGATCGCCATTTTGATAATACTAATAGGCTAATTTAATTACAACTAGACCTACAATTAAAAATTTAGTTTAAGATGTTGTAGGCCTACATCTCTATATATTTATTTAAAAAAAAACAACTTAAAAACACATATTAAACAGGATTCTATCTGACCCTGTTGTATTTTAGTACCGGTACTCTATACCATGGAACTTATAATACAACTGTTAACATTGTTTTTTTGTATTAAATATGCTGTAATAATAATAAGCAAATTTTAGCAATGTCTCAATATCAACATTTTTTGTAATCTTTTTACATTTCTTCCAAAGCAAATGTTAATTATTGTATCAAAACATTGTTGTTCAATATTTTAACTTTTCATGAATTATAGTTTCTGAAATTTCGATGCCATCGAAAATATGATAGGTGTACACTGTGTAGGGCCTACGCGGGGATCACATGGCTAAGTGGGTAAGATGCTGGCTCGCTAGCCTGGAGGTCGGGAGGTCGGGTGTTCGATCCCTGCATTGGCCGAGAAAGTTCATTGAGATTTTCCGGTGTGGTTCCCCCTTGCCAGTGATGCAGGACGGAGGGCCTGACAAGGACAACTGTCTAGTTGTTCGGGTGGGACAAAAACCGAGGTCCCGTGTACACATTGGCGTGCACGTAAAAGATCCCTTGGCAGTTGGAATTCGATATAAGAGTAGGCCGTAGCGCCGCTGCCCGGGCAAAATTTCCCTCATAGCACACTGTATGGCGTATGCCCGTCTTCATTAGCCCAGGTTAGGAGCAGAACAGTAGGACATTAAACCCCATTTCATTTCATTTCAGGGCCTACGTAGGCCTAGGAATGTTGTTTTTTTAAATGACAGATTCTCGCAATTTTAATATAGATTATAGACCTACTTAATGTCTTTTTGAGACTAACATATGGTTCAATTTTATTTCAATAATTTGCGCATGCACGTAGGGGTCTTTAGCAGTGGGAGGAAACCGAAGGACCCGGAGAAAACCGTCAAGGTTGGACAGGCGACTACTCCAAGTCACGTAACTGGGGAATCAAAACCAGGAGCAGAACAGTAGGACGTTAAACCCCATTTCATTTCATTTCATTTCAGGGCCTACGTAGGCCTAGGACTGTTTTTTTTTTAAATGACAGATTCTCGCAATTTTAATATAGACTACAGACCTACTTAATGTCTTTTTGAGACTAACATATGGTTCAATTTTATTTCAATAATTTGCGCATGCACGTAGGGGTCTTTAGCAGTTGGAGGAAACCGGAGGACCCAGAGAAAACCCACAAGGTTGGACAGGCGACCCTACTCCTTGTCTTGTACAGCCAGGGAATCGAAACCACGCCAGTTGACTCAATGACAGACTTTATAATACAGCGAATCGAAACCAGCATGTAAAAGAATCCATGGCAGTTTTAATTTGATATAAGAGTAGGTCATATGGCAGCTGTCAAGGTAAAATTTCCCACAGCACATTTTGTGTTTGTATATGAGATAGTGAGAAAAATGGGGTTTAATGTCCACTCAACACAAACCAGGTAACTTCTGGGCTAACATGTAGTTCTTTGCTTGTGTCTTTTCTTTTCAATGTGGGAGGGGGTCACGTGGCTAAGTGAGTAAGACGCTGGCTCGCTAGCCTGGAGGTCGGGTGTTCGATCCCTGCATTGGCCGAGAAAGTTCATTGAGATTTTCCGGCGTGGTTCCCCCTTGCCAGTGATGCAGCACGGAGGGCCTGACAAGGACAGCTGTCTAGTCCTTCGGATGAGACGAAAAACTGAGGTCCTGTGTATACATTAGAATGCACGTAAAAGATCCCTTGGCAGTTGGAATTCGATATAAGAGTAGGCAATAGTGCTGCTGCCCGGGCAAAATTTCCCTCATAGCACACTGTATGGCGTATGCCCGTCTTCATTAGCCCAGCATAGGAGAAGAACAGTAGGACGTTAAACCCAATTTCATTTCATTTTTTCAATGTGGGGGTTGAATGGTTTTGTGCTTAATGTGTGCACATGAAATCACAAGGTCTGTCGTGGATACACTAGCCGAATCATTCGGCCAAATAAGTGGGCATACTCTCACCTGATTCACAAGTCGATTGCATCACCTTTGACATCGCATGATTAAACATGGCAGTGACCATGTCTTCAAACAATCACGTGACTTCTTGATATGATTGGTGATTAAATATAATTCGGGCGAATATATCAAACATGTTTGATTCGCGAATCATTAAGCGCGGATTCATTCGGCAGAATCATTCGGCTACTGCGTCCAGCGATTAAAGCAATATGCACTAACTCATTTCAACAACAATAAAATGTCAGCAGCATAATATTGTAAACATAGGATATAGCAATTTATAGCTATCACTTTCACATGCAAAATTGTTTATATATTTTATGGCCAAATGGAATTTTTATTTGCCAAATCTTAATTTGCTTTACATTAGCCCATTCTTTAGATGCTTTACTAAGATCCAGTTTATTATTTGGTTATATTAATAAAGTTTTGCTTAAATATCACAGCAATATTAGGCTATCATATACATTTACAAAATTTTATGACAGTCAGATGTAAAACTACATGTATTGCTTATTGAGTATTATTGGTGGCTTTGGTCTTTTAAAATACCGTACCGGGTATTGAATGAAATATTTTAAATATGTACCGGCACCGTGCAGCCTACACAACACATCAAGTCTTACAAGGATTACCAAATTTCCAGCAAATTTACTTTTACTTTTACCGTGTAGCCTACACATGATGGTCTGTTATTATAGGTACCTGAATCATTGATAGAAATAGCAAGTTTATTTGTAAGAAGAGCTTTACATAAGACTCGTCATTCACTTGTGTACATTTTGAAGCGGTAGCCTGATAAAAGAAATGCCGACCGTAAATCTCGATCATTCGGGAATCGTCGCTAATCGCTATATAACGCCTACAGCCCATGGTGGCAGTATAATTTGAAATAATATAATGTCAAATAAGGCAGGCATGCTTGCATGCCGTGTGTTCAAAGCCACATTAGGTCCTAATCAAATTCAACTATCAAAACATTCAATTCTCGTCGGCCATTTTGATTATAGTCTATGCCTATATATAGAGCGTACCGGTATCCGATACATGACCTAGATACAGGACGCCGCCATGTTGGTGGACAACAACACACCACCTCTGCGTAAACATGGTAATAGATTTTAGTACCATACGTAATATGACATCTGGAATTTTGTATTGTAAGACCAATATTTTTAATTTAAATACCCGGCCATATCCCCGTCAAATAATACGAGTTCCGTACCACTGGACTTTAGACGAAGCGAAACAGCGAATAACCACCAATATGATTAATTATTATGTGTAAATAATGAATACAGGATTACATTTCCTCGATACAGAAAGGGGAGATATCGCAATAATAAGCTGCGTATCTAGTACTTGGACTCCGTGAAGAGCGAACCCCGCTAATGACCTATTTTTAGACAGACGCCATATTTCAGTACAATCACTTATTTGTTTCAATCGAGTGTCTATAGAAGTGTGTTGGAAATGAACACTTCAGAGGAAGTGTACACTTCATTTCGGTACGGGGTGTTTCATACGCTCTATCCATTGAGCATCCGTTCACTTTGATTTCATCCGCACAAAAACTTTTGAGCTGCACAAAACTTTTATAACGGACAAACTTTCTGCCGTGTACGATGTAAATGCACAACATATACGAGCACCAAACGTTCCATGTCCGTTATCATCCGTTAAACGTCCACTGTATCCTCTTTGCATCCTCGCAACTCACATCCGCTCCAGCTGAAAACAGAAAGAGGGAGGAAAGATAAGGTACATGGAACGTCTATACATCGTAAGTAGCACCAAAATAGAAAGGGTGTAAGCGTATGCATCTCGTATAATAAAGTTTTCAAAACGGACAAAGCATCAAAGCGTTTTTATCTGGGATGTATCTGGTATATTAAAGGATGTCTGGAGTTTGCCTAACCCCTTCGGAGCTGTCATCCACTTCCACCCGCTTTCATCCACTAGGCTTCCGATGAACTTCCATTTAACATCCCCGCTACATACTTCCCACGTTCGTTCTTTTCAGTGGCTAAGTGGGTAAGACGCTGGCTCGCTAGCCAGGAGGTCGGGTGTTCGATCCCTGCATTGGCCGAGAAAGTTCATCCAGATTTTCCGGCGTGGTTCTCCCTTGTCAGTGATGCAGGACGGAGGAGCTGACAAGGAAAGCTGTCTAGTCGTTCGGATGGGACGAAAAACCGAGGTCCCGTGTACACATTGGCGTGCACGTAAAAGATCCCTTGGCAGTTGGAATTCGATATAAGAGTAGGCCGTAGTGCCGCTGTCTGGGCAAAATTTCCCTCATAGCACACTGTATGGCGTATGCCCGTCTTCATTAGCCCAGGTTAGGAGCAGAACGAACAGTAGGACGTTAAACCCCATTTCATTTCATTTCATGTTCGTTCTTTTCCGTTCTGTTTTCTGCAAATTTTCGTCAATTTTGTCCATTTCTGGCGCGGATGAAAACGGATGGAGCCACCCACAAAAGTTTGCTCGTCCGCTGTGTCCTTTTTGCATACGTTGTGTCCATCGGCCACTAGGACCGGGCCTTAAGTGAGTGTATTTGAAAGATAATAAGTAAATTTAATTTCAAGGCTGGTCTGACAATAATGGTTGCTATGGTCATTCTATCATAACCAGACTAGTCAAAATCGAAGATTTTCAACAAGTGAATAAAAATACTACAATTTATTGAACTCCATATGGAGTGTATGGACATTTATCAAACATGATATGCAATTTATTTCGAACCTAGCCACTGCTGGAGTTCAAATTCATTTAAAATGTACATAAAATACACGATTTCTGTTTCGATCTTTAAAATTATCGCAGAGTGACCTCCCTTTCCAAACAGACACAATTAACCAGTCGCTTAGTGAACCAAATAGAATTGAAATGAGTGTTTATCTCAATGACGTATATATATATATTAACTAGACCGATGACGCCAATCTGTTTACTAATGACGCGATGACAAATCAGTGCCGAGTTCCGGTTCAGTCAAGAAGAGTCGAAAGCGTGACGTTTCTAATGTAAACAATATTATTATTATTATTATTACAGCATATTTATAGTGCACCCTTTCATATAACATGTTCAGGGGCACTTTACAAAGTGACAATGTAAATCACACCTAAACAACAAGATTATGGGCATGTTAACGATTTTATACAGAGTCAGTTAAAAGCCTGATTAAATAAATGTGTTTTAAGTTGTTTTTTAAAAGAATACAGAGATGTACAACATATTAAACTAAATGGTAGATTATTCCATAAAACAGGTGCTTGATAACTAAAAGAGCGCTGACCATAGGAGACTAGTTGAACAGTTTTGGGCTTTAAAAGTAGTTTATCTGATGTACGTAATGTTCGGCCAGGTGTATAAAGTTCCAAAAGATCTGAGAGGTAAACAGGAGCTAAATTATTTAAACATTTAAAAGTAAGTAATAAAATCTTAAAATCAATTCGATATTTAACAGGTAACCAGTGTAAATTATATAAAACAGGAGTTATGTGGTCACATTTCTTATTTTGATCGTTATATCGCTTGTAAATATTCGATCTGATTAAAATACAGATCTATATTTCTTTTCGTTTCTTTATACTTTCGATGGACTACACTACATGAAGATCTGACAAGATATAGCGATAGGTCACGCCAGGGGTCAAAAGACCGACTTACGACCCTTTTGACGTCAGACATATGACCCTTTTGACGTCAGACATTTGATTAACCAATCAGCATTGATGTTACTAGTGGATTACCCTCAGTTCCATGAAAAACACGCCTAAAGCTCGCCGTAACAGACCGTTTCATTGGTTTATCCCTGACACCATTCAGAACACGAGTTAAATAACAACTCTTCCAGATCCATGTGTAGTAAAGACAAGTAAAACGAAATTTTGAACTATAAAAACGAAACGAAATAGGATCTGTGTTTTAACCAGATTGGTAAATAAAAAGATTGATTGGATTTTAGATTTTTTTTTAGTTACCGTACAGTACACAAATATAGTTTTATATTTTTTAGAAGTGATCATATCGTAATAACTTATAATTTCCAGTGTATGACCATGAGTGGGTAATGCGCTGATCGAGATCTGGCTGGACTATCTGTTTTCATATTAGCTTCATAGGCGTATAACACCACAAATATAGTTTTATATTTTTTAGAAGTGATCATATCGTAATAACTTATAATTTCCAGTGTATGACCATGAATGGGTAATGCGCTGATCGAGATCTGGCTGGACTATCTGTTTTCATATTAGCTTCATAGGCGTATAACACCACCCAAAAAATTTAAAATAATATAAAAAGTTTGTGTTTACGATTCCCCAACCGAATCTATTTTTGTTAGCCATAATCGCCGACCCTAAATTATTTTTCCTCGTTTCCCATATCCTATTAATCTGTAAAGGCGTGCTTGTTTGCAAACAAAATCGCCGACTCTACAAAACATTTTTGTTCTCATTTACCAGGACCTATAAATCTGTCTTCGGGCGGTTTTCTACAATTTCCAACACAGTCCAAATCGTCATGTCACCGTGTTTGACAAGGGTTAAAGATTGCAAGTATCGACGTAGGTTATTAAAAGATTAATATTACGACGTTTTCCGACCGACCCCACTTTTTTATAGGCAAGCAACCGTATCTGCCGACCCTATCTTTTAAAAGCCAAATTCGCCGACCCTAAGCTTCTGAACTGTTTACTGGTGATCAGTTTGCTCTTTCCCCTCACAACCCAGGGCCCTGTTTCACGAAATTTTAACTAAAGATAAAATCCAAATTTTAGTAGATACTTCAATTTTGATTGGCTAACACTAAAATCAATCTAATATTATCCAATCAAATTACTAAAATTTAGATTTTTATCTTAGTTAAAATTTCGTGAAACAGGCCCCTGGACCTATAAATCGAGATTAGTGTGGATTTCGGCTCCAAAATGCCACCACTCAATTTTCAGTATTTACACCAGTATGCTGCGAATCACCATTATTTTCTAGAACCTTCGGCTGCTCAGTAATTCAACTAGAAATGCTTGGAAATAAATAATATAGGCCTACACTTTATGGTTGTTAATATGACACAACAAGGGCTATGGACAGGGCTGCACAGCAGGAGGTATTGGGGATGGGCTGATTTTTTTTTTTGCCGATTGCCCGTTTTTTTTTCGGGAAAATGGGCCATTTTGTTGGAGTCTCTTAAACATCCAATAAAACCAAAATGAGGCCTACAAATCAATATTCAACGGAGTCATTTCATTATTACATAATGTATACTTACAACTTTTCGACCTATAACTGGGGGTAATAATTGATAATTTTTAAAAATGTTCTCCGTCTCCGGGACGGGCGATGCTATTTTTATTGGGTGCAAAAATAAGGTAATGGTGGGCCGATTTGATTTTCTAATGTTGAGTGGGACGATTTTTTGATGGCGCCCCCACTCCCGTCACCAGGGAAATTATGTTTGTCCTCCCCAGGCTATGGAATGAAATAACCCATGTTGGTTTTTAAAAAAAAAAACCTAAATTGTTTTTGAGCCAAGCGACCTTAGGCACTTGTATTATTATATGTTTCATTTTGTCTAATGATCGAGTGTCATTGGAAATAATGAAAACCAATGTTTTCGAGAATAACTTTAGCGGCAACCACGATATTGGACAACTATTTGCAAATAATATGCCCAAACGAATTACAATGTAATGTGTATATTGTCATAAAATAGCTGTAAATAATCATCTTTTCAGTAAGAAAACAAACATTACAATGGCTATTCAAAACTTTAATAAAAATGCATATTGCAGTAGATTATGAAATTTATCACACAAGCGATATCTACTGTAGAATGTTTTATTGGGTGATAATAAACTTTTTGTTATCAAGCTATCTTGCAATATTCAATCGTGCAGTAATATAATGGTGCACGATATTAAGAAATTAAGATCCATTATGTAAGAGTTGGTAAGATTAAATACATAGATGGCAGTTCTAGCTATAATAGTCTAAAATTGTGTTCGTAGCGTTTAACAAAACATGTCTACACAAGGTCTATAGCTCTCAGTTATAACTTGTTTGCAACAGATGAGTTTTTAAATGTTTCTTGAATGAAGTTAATGAGGTGCATTGGCGAAGATTAACAGGTCATGAGTTCCACCTTCTAGCAGTAGCTACTTCAAACAAAAGTTGCCATCCTGTAATTTGGTATTATCAGTTGTCTGCGATCGCATTTTTCGATAGAATGTAAGACTGAACACGTCCACATAGATAATTAGGAGCGGTGCCATACTTTTAAACTACCTTTTTCTTAGCGAAGTTATGAATGTTTAAAGTTTTAACATATTGTCTCAGACTCTTCATTACAAAACCCACACGCATCGTTACCAAGGATTTAACAAAATGTGTTTTAAAGAAAACGGTTGGTAATAACAATTGAGTGGATAGTACGGTATTGTAGGCATAATAGTTTTCTATCGGAAGTGGTTTTTTTTCTAGCCAAAGAGCCGATATTTTGACAAATGTTCTCGGCACATTTAAATTTTTCATTAGAGGCGCTCGATCGCTACGCGATATCGGCCTCTAATGATTTAAGCGGTATCAAATGGACAATAACAGTCCTCTAAATTCTAAACGGGAGGTGTTTATCTCCTAAATAAATACTTTAATCAAAAAAGAATTTTATTCATTTAGTTCCTAACTTAGTAATGAAATAGAGTTTAACGGCCCACTTTTCTTGGCATACGCCATAATAGGCTATGGGGGGAAATTGTGCCCCGGACAGGGGCTCTACGAACTACTCTTATTTTGAATGTCAATTGTCAAGGGTCCTTTTACATGCAGGGGGTTGGATGGTCGAATAGTAAGCACGCGTGCGTTGTATCATAAGGTCTGTCATTGCGTCAACTGGCGTGGTTTCGATTTCCCGGTTGTACAGTCTCGAGTTTGCTCCCGGTGGTAGTTTAAAACGTTCCTCGCGATGTACGGTCGCGGGTTTAGTTGTGCAGGACGGGGAGCCTGGCAAGGGCAGTCGTTCGGGTGGTACGAAAAACCGTGGTCCCGTGTACACATTGGCACGTAAAGAGAGAGAGAGAGAGAGAGAGAGAGAGACTAAATCATTTCGAGAATAACATATATGGTTTAATTTCATTTCACTAATTCGCTTGTGCATAGGAGTCTTTAGTAGTGGGAGGAAACCGGGGGACCCGGAGAAAACCCACGAGGTTTTACAGGTGACCCTACTCCTTGTCACGTACAACCGGTGTATCGAAAAACGCCAGTTGACTTATTGACAGACCTTATGATACAAGACGAACGCGCTAACCATTCGCCCCATCCCATTGTACATTAGAATGTGGGTTAGAAATGGATGTTTCAAAGCAACGACAGCACGTTTCCAACCACTAAAAGACTAGCATACTGACGTATACAAAATATATTTACTATAAAATATACGTATTGATATGTAGGCACATTTCAGATGTATCTAAACATTTGAGCTGACACATGTTTGTAATACTGTTCAACTTTTAATAATCCAATAAAAACAAAAACAACGCGCCGTACGTGTTATGTAGCGCGCAGACCAAGAACGAAATTGTTTGTGATATCTTTAGAAAGTCATAATGGTGAACCAAATTATTAGAGACACAATCATTTCATTCAATATTATATGTTGTTTAAATGTGGACTGGCTGGGTATGCGAGACTATTAAATGGAAATTGGAAATAGACGTTTCTAGGAATATGTACACTAATTTTAAATAAGATATTGTGCATACCTATTATTACTTCTAAGAATATAGTGGGCGTTTGTATGTAGACTAAACTACTGTTGCATACATATGTATGTATCAGTGTGATGTGTTACGTGTAAGTACACTATGACCAACCTTATAATCAAGTGTGAAGTATATTCAGTTTTGCTTGTGTTGCTATACGATATCTCTCATAATAGGACAGAGTGAAGTTAACTAGTCACTTAAACGGTATATATCTGTGGTATCCGGTAGTGGTATATGTATTAAACGAAAGACACTATTCCTGTGATAACGGCGACCTATTTATTAAACATTTGGAAGTGAATTAATATATTTGTAAGAGGTGAATATAAGTATACCTAGACAGATAAGATAGGACAATATTCATGTGATTGACGACGGTAACCATGTAAGTCTGTAGATACACTATTCGTGTGAAGAAGCGACTTTAACTTAGTTTCAAGAAACATTATTCGTGTGATATGTGACTTTACAATCAACATGGCTACTTTCGACCAAGAAAAACCAGTATTAAACGAATTTCAACAACCCAAGATTGCCTCTAATGCAGATGTTCAGCAGGAGATGGCTAGTGATATTTGTAAAACAGAAGTTCCACCATGCGATGTTTGTAAAACTGTTCAGGTGTGTAATTCTAAGTTCATGTGTGTGGAATGTGAACAATATCTGTGTAAGTCTTGTAGAACAACACATGATGGACTTAAGTCTTGTCGTGGACACGTGATTTTGGATGTTAGGGTCGCATTACAGACACCGGGCGGGGATAATGCCGAGTCTAAATCTAAAGATTTCTGCCCAAACCACCATGATAAAGAAGTGAGATGTTATTGTAAAGATTGTTCAACAGCTGTTTGTTCCGATTGTTATGTGACAAACCACGGTTCGCACAAATTTGTTGATCTTCATGGTGAAAACATCGACGTTGAAACCAGAGATGAGCTAAAAGTTTTGCAAGACGATATAGAAACTCATATTAGTAAATTTGAAAAGTTCTGCAAATCGTTGACCAAAATTAAAACAGATATCGAATACTCTGCAAAAACATCATGTGATGCCGTTGACCAACAAATTGAACAGATCTGTTCTGAAGCCAAACAAGCTGGAGAGGAAATAAAAGCCGAAATTCAAAAGTCACGTGATGAGGAAATAGATAAAATGATCAAACTTCTGGGAGAGATGGAAATATTAATAGAAGATTTAAAAGCCAGTGTTAAATGTACCGGGGATGTTATAGAAGATACATCTATCGTCCAGGTTTTAAACAGAATACCACAAGTTAAACAGGAAAAGGAGGAGAGCAGTTTAAGAAAGTTGGATATACCTGATGTGAAATACACGTGGTTTGAACAATCTGTGATTGATAAAACATTGTTAGTAAAACAACTAGGATGTTTACTGTATCAAGCAGAATCCACTTTTACAACTAGTTTCAACTTGGATGAAGTTGAGTCAGAAGAAGATGATGGAGTAAATGGTGAAGATCATTATATTCAAGGTTTACCATGGTATATTAGAGCTGTAAAGAAAGAGGAGACAGACACTGTACCAACTCTAGCTATTTACCTACGACTAAAATCAACAAAAGACACAGCCGATATTAAATCATGTGAGACTAACCGAAGAATCACACTAATTAATATTAAAGATAAACAACAGTCTTTGAAGAAAGATTCGAATAGTACTACATATTATAAACCTGGCGTAGGCGGGCGGGGTTGGCCTGGATTCATAGAATGGGATAGACTTTCTGATAAAGAAAATGGATTTCTTGATGACGACAACAACTTTACTGTACAGACAACAGTCAAAATAATCAAGATTGAACGTAATTAATATTATTATAGATGAGTTCTAAATACATACCTTTCTAGTTGTATGACAAACTCATTATAATATTTAAACTGAATGATTATCTCATAAAACAACTAGGTCATTTCGGGACTAACACATGGTTCAATTTTATTTCAATAATTCGCTTGTAGAAAACCCTCTTCGACTTCGCATGGCTGTACTTATGGATCTGCAAATTGCTTTATTATTTCCTACCATATCCTTATATTATGATATTGTACATTTTCACCCGAAAAGGCTTTATTGAAATTTGCATATACTTATATTATAACTACTGTTCTCTTGATAATCAACTTAACAATATATAGTGATTAGAACTGTTTAAGTGTCATTCATATTTTGAGTTACGTTTACTAACTATAAACGTATTAAAGCCTTATCAGTTGTTCTTATTTTTATTTCCAGCCCCGTATACAATCTAGAGACTGATTATTACACAGAGATCGCCCCCTATATTAATACATGTATTATAGATCAATGAACATGTCTATCTTACTTGAATCGGACTATTTTCCCCTAGACGAGATCAAACCTATGTCATCTCCTTATATGATGGGTCGGTGAAGAACATTTCACACTAAAATTAAAAATCTCATTTAAATTGGGTTGTCTCCTGACATTCAGTTTATATTAAAACTTGTCCATAATCTTATATCTTCGCTCTATCCCAATAGATATACCATATATGGTCAATGATCATTAGACTATTCACAGTTGTATCCAAGTAGGGTGTCTTGTCACAATCGCAGTATTAGTTGCTCAATGAAAGGGTCTGTTGAAGTTGTCCGTTTAAGGAAAGTATCCTTTTGATCGATCAATGTAGCAATACCTGTGCTCTGTTTGTCACGATCATGAAGCTCATCAGAAAAAGAATAGTTCAGCAAATTTACCAAAAATGCTTCTGTAAAAGACGATTTAAATCGCACGCGGTGAATAAGAAGTTGGCTGGCTCACTAGGTCATGGTCCCGTGTCCGATCCTGGTGTTGGCCGAGAAAGCTTCCAGTGCGATGCAAGTGGTGAAGGAAGGAGAGCACAGATCAAACCAGGCGCATATATTTCTTGCAAAAGGTGTTCATTGGCTAATCCCTCATGCCAGCCCCAGAACGCAGATTTTATAACAACCCTTCCAGAACCTAGTGTAGTAAAGACAAGTAAAACGAAATTTTGAACTATGAAAAACGAAACGAAATAGGATCTGTGTTTTAACCAGATTGCATAATCTGCAGCAATTACGTCTATTGGCTGATGTAATCACGTCTATTGGCTGATGTAATCACGTCTATTGACTGATGTAATAATCTGGTACAATAGGAAGAAAAAAACCCCAAAAATATAAAAAGGCTTAGGGGTCTATAACTTTTGATAAAGTATACTCTTTTTATTAAGAGTATACATCTAATATTCTGATACAGTATAACGTGATACCACTGTCTAAACAACTCAACGAAGTTGAATCGATTTCTGATACAAAAATAGAGGACCATTTGCAAGATATAAAGAGAGCTCGGATAGAACTACCCCCCCCCCCCCTCTCCATTCCTACACGAATAAAAATGTCCTGTAAAGAATTATAAACACAAAGGCTAGTGTATAAAATATAACTTTAAACTGGGCACATAAACTCAATATTTTTTTGGAGGAGGGGGGGGGGGGTGGAACATGAAACATGCTAGAGTTGATTTGTAGCATATCTTTTCTTTGATGTACGTTGAGCATAATTATTGCAACCATTTCAGAGAGGGGGCGCACAATTTCTAAACCCATGACGCAAGTTGCGCCACTGCACTCTTTCATGGGGATCACGGTGGCTAAGGGGGTAGACGCTGGCTCGCTAACCTGGAGGTAGGGTGTTCGATCCCTGCATTGGCCGAGAAAGTTCATCCAGATTGTCCGGCGTGGTTACCCCCTTGTCAGTGATGCAGGAAGAAGGGCCTGACAGGGACAGCTGTCTAGTCGTTCGGATCTGACGAAAAACTGAGGTCCCGTGTACACATTGGCGTGCACGTAAAAGATCACTTGACAGTTGGAATTCGATATAAGAGTAGGCCATAATGCCGCTATCCGGGCAAAATGTCCTTAATAGCACTCTGTATGGCGTATGCCGTCTTCATTAACCCAGTTCTGAGCAGAACTGTAGGACGGTAAACCCCATTTTATTTCATTCCATTGCACCCTTTCACTTTAACCTTGTTACAGAATAGAGAAAGCATGGTGAATATTGTGTAGTAAATATTCTATAGGTGTAAAAATCTACTACAATTATTTAAAAATGAGTTAAATTACAAAAATGTGTTTTTGTATGTGCAACCAGTTTTTAATAAACGTTCGATTTCAAACAGAATTATAACAGAATTGAATGTTTATTACAAAACTGCTTTCTATAATCTTACACTACCATATTAAAATAAACCTGAAGATATCGTTTTGATTTTAAAGAGTTTATTCTAACAAAATGGTAATAAATAGATGAACAATGGTTAGTTTTAACATTATATCTTCTATATCACAGATATTCCTGTAAATAAACAAACGTTTATATATATATATATATATATATATATACATTACAGATTTAAATAAAATATATTTTATTATAGTGGTTACATTAATATACAGGTGTAGACTGGGTAGCTGTGATCAACCAGACCAAAAGTTTACCATGGTTAAGAACACGTGACAGGGTGTGGACTGGGTAGCTCTGATCAACCAGACCAACTGGTTTCCATGGTTAAGAACACGTAACAGGGTAGCTTTGAGCAACCGGACCAACTGTTTACCATGACGAGAAAACTAAACTAGCTTGATTCACAATTTCTGCATCCCACTCACATATCATTATTTATCTCGGAGTTAGGTCATTATATTTATCAGTTGATGCAAGATCAATTTTATATATTTTGAAAAAAAAATATACGTTAATTTTATTTGCCAATCATGGCCAATTTGCCCTTGACCACGCCCGACGATCCGAGGTCCAGCTCGTCCCTATTAATATACATGGTAGTAGATGTATATATTACAGTAGTGTATCATGAATGGTTAGACGTATGGAGTTCAAAAAGGGGTAATTGTTTTATCTAGAAAGAATAAACATTTACTACTTCGTGCATGACAACCGTCATAACTAAGGAGATAGTTAGGCAGAAATACAACACACCCGTTCTGTTATATTCCAACTGATAAACAAACCAAATGACATCAAGTCTACTTGATTTGTTTACTTAACAGTATCCACGAATGACATGCGTTATCTTTATTAAAGCCGGTCATTCCGACACCCCCAATTACAAGACTTTGATCAATGTACTGCGTGTTACATTCTATCACGATCCTTCGATCATTTACAAACATTATTAATTGAAATTTCGAACTTACTTTATTTCTTGTATCCGGTCATACCAAAACCTCCCATGCCAAGGCCTCCCATCATCATAGGATTGTACATTCCACCCATCATACCAAGTCCACCTCCATACATACCCATACCACCCATCATGTATGGACTGTATCCTCCCATCATACACAAACCTCCCATACCCATATCTCCCATCATCCCAAGTCCACCAATCATACCCATACCTCCCATCATGTATGGACTGTATCCTCCCATCATACCTAATCCACCACCCATCATTGGGTTTACACAGTGGCTAGAGCCAGACAGAAAGCGAGGGATAGGATGGTGTTCATTTTCTTGTTTTGAGTTGATGCTGAAATGTAATTAAAACAAAATCGTAAACTTAAATAAAGCTGTACACACACCCACATTCACATACACAGGGGCGGACTGGACCTCAACCGCCGGACGTGATCCGAGGGCCCAGAGGGGTTAGGCGTTCATATGCCCCGATTGGAAAAAAATTGACATATATCCTTTTCAAAATCAATAAAATCTATCTTGGCATCCACTGAAAATTATAATGACCCAAATCCGAGGAGACAAAATCGTATATAAGAGGGTGAGAGAAAATTGAATCAAGCTAATTTCATTTTCTGGCCCCATCACGTGATCTTCAACGTAATCTAAAGAAACCAGTTCGTCCACTCGCTTCCTATTTATAAATGTTTTTGATTGGTTGATAGCACAATTATCAAGGGCGGATAATTTGACTGTGTGTCTCCCCCGTGAATGGGTCCAGGGGATAGTGGAGTAAAACGGAACGATACTACAGGAGATACCATGTAGACTCTGTTGTGAGGGGAATTTTTTCCGGACATCGGCGCTACGGCCGATATCTCTTATATCGAAATCCATCTTATAAGTTTTTTTTACGTGCATGTCAATGTGTACACCAGACCTCATTTTTCGTCCCATTCGAACGACTAGACACTGTCCTTGCCAGGTTCTCCTGCCTGCACCCACTGATATGGTGAAACCGCACCAAACAATTCAGAGGAACTTTGTCTTCCATCACCGGAAGCGAACCTGAGACCTCATGGTTAGCGAGCCAACGTCTTACTCACTGAGCCACCGGGGCTCCTCATAAAACTTTTTAAGTCCTGGCTTCAGATTCTGATATATTCTGACTTTTCATCAAATTACTTAATTAATTAGTACTTACCTGTAGATATTTACACGAAGATGTGTTGTAGAAAACTGTTGGTTATCTTATCAAATATATACTACCTTTAATTGGTATACTAATTACACTTCCCTGTACACGGATCTTATACTGGGGTCAATACGACAACTCATCTAATTCAAATAACATTAAGTCACTAATATGGTACTGTGTATGACCCGCCTTGGGGTCATTCATTTATTCGTTCATTCGTTCATTTAAAATAATATATAACAATGACATAATGAATAGAAAATATGTCCGTTTACAAGCATCTTATGTCTCTGAATAGCCGTGTTATTAATGTTAATTAAATTAATTTTGACATAATTCCGAGTAATGTGAATCAAATCTATTACGAGCGTGTTTTTTCGGATGAACCATGACGGAAGAAAATTTATAAAAACAAACGACTTGAATGAAATCTTCACAACAGGAATTATTCTTAACAAGATATCTCAGATTAAAGCACCAGGTAAAAAAATTCTATTTGTATTATAAGTGTTGTTTATGATTGAATCCCGTCTCCAGTAGCCCAGCGGAGCTGCGGTGACTTAGAGAATAAGACGTTGGCTGGCTAAGCTGGGGGGCCCGTGTTGGCCGAGAAAGTTCATATTGATTTTCCGGCGTGGTTCCCCCTTGTTAGCATCGTAGGTCTGAGGATATTATCTGCTGTTTTGGTTTTGTTTTCTCGGTTAAATGTTAAGTTATCAATTTAGCATTTATTAATCCGAGAAAAATTAGATATTGTGTGAAAAACGATCAAAATCGTCGATTTTAATGTATACCTTTTTAACATATAAATTTTAATTTCGT